AATAGTTTTTTTATAAAAAATCTATACTTTTGCATTTGGGTGTTCAAATCTCAGTCCAATCATTGTATTTTCTTGAAATTTGGGTTACAATTAAAACTTTTTGTAAAATTCATATGGGCTTTGGAATTACTTTGATCGAACATCGGACGGAGAAACGATACACTCCAGAATTTGGTCTAAAGGTGCTGTCATGATAGCAACAGCACTGAATAATGCAACATGCTCAAAGTTTAATCTAGCCGTTGGATTTTCTTAAAACTTAAAACACCAATAGTACTCTTTAAAAGTGAAGTGTGAGCTTTCGAATCACTTCGATCGAAGGCCGGAATGCAAAATAGCACCTCCCAAAATTTAGTCTGGGAGGGCTATCATGACAGCAAGTTAATGATGTCAAGACAACAACTTTTTGCCTGTTTTGCCTAGTTGAGCTTCCATGTGCTATATGTTGATCCTTTAGTTTTTTTCTAAACAATTTGAAATGTGTTTATTGTTGTGGTGCAATTTATTTGGTGATTGGAATAGTTTGTCTTCTAAGTTGATTTTAGAATCCTCTCCTTAACCACACTTAGTTTTTCTTTTTCTTTTTTTGATTGGATGTGTTTTTGAATAACATTTGGGGCAAGTGTTACAACTTCCAACCCAAAAATGCCCCTATATTTTTTTTAATGTCACTATCAACATCAGTTATAGTATTTTTTTTTAAAAAAAAAAAAAATCTACCCTTAACCCAGCCCTTTCCCAAAGGAAACGGTGACACATCACCCATGCATGCACACAAACATATCAATTTGGGTTTGAAGCCGGGACCTCTTCCAAGAAAGGGAGCCGTTTCTGCTAGGTATAACTACACTAGTTGTAGTTACAACAATATAGAAAGTGGTTTTTTTTTTCTTGAAGAGAAAACATTTTCAACACCTACTGTCTGTTGTCTCTACGCCCATATAAAAAGTTGTCTCCACTTTCTGCACTTGTTTGATAACTGGTGTATAAAGGCCCCTATTTAAAATGTCAATTTTAACTGGTTTTAAAAAGTTTTTCTTGTAATAGTGAAGGGGAAAAGGTAAATTTCTTCTAACCATCAAATTGCTTGTCATTATCGCCAATTCTCTCCCTTAATTCTTTTGGGTACAATTGAATTGCCAATTTATCAAGTATACTTTGCTCAACAGAGAGAAAAATCCGTGGCACATCATATACAACGAGTCCACATGTTATTATATTTTTTTGCATACTTCGTCCCTCCTGTTGATTTTGCATATATCTTATAATTCAAGTTAAATGATTATTCAAAGATTATTATATGAAAAAATATAATTTGAAACTAGAATTCAACATGTAGAACAATTCACATGCATATACTTAAAGGGAGATATATGTAATAGCACCAAAGTATAATTCTTTATATCATATATGCCATTTTATCCATATATAGATACTTTGGGATTAAATAATCTAATATTCTGCTCCAGAGCTAATTGACATTTTATTCACAATCACTTTGGGAAAAAGACACATATATACACAAGTGTGCATACCTGTAAATGAGTTAGTGCTTGAATATAATTGTTTCAAAGATGTACAGTTGCTTATTGATTTTGGAATGCTTCCCTCTAAATAATTTTCACCAACATCCGAGAATTCCAGCAAAGGGAGTTGATGGCACATTTCTTCTGGCAAATTGCCATTTAAACGATTCCTTCCAAGGCTCACCATTCTCAAAGAAGGCATGCCCCAAAGAAATGAAGGAATTTCACCTGAAAATACAAAATATTTAATTTATTTGTTGGCTAAGACTTAAGATAAACAATCTTATACTTATGAAATGAAAATATCTTCAATTGAAACTTTTGGAGGCATTATGGAATAAGCACTATGTTTATTACCCCCACCAAGCTGTATAAATAATACAGAAAAACTTTCTACTAAAAAATATAGACAAAATTTCCTTGAAAGCATAAAATTAAGGGAGGGCTGCATTAAAGGGAACTTGTAGTTAGAAGCTCTCACAATAATCTTTAACACTAAGCTGATATAGGCGTCATAAAAAGAATAATAATAAGATGTGAAAAGAGAATAAAACATAAAAAGCTTTATGAAATGATATTAATTTGCCTGAAATGTTGCAAGAGTTCAAAAAACAAAATATGATGTCAATATACAGTAGAGGGAATAAAAAATATATTTTTTAGTTTGAGAATTGCACTAATCGTCAAATTTACTTTACCACAATACTCTTCATACGTAAAATGCAGAGTGTTCCCACCATATATTTCAAATATTGATGAGCCTTCAGATTCGTTTGGATTAATTATTATATCAGAAATTGGATGACAGTTGTTTTCTTAACAAACAAAAAGCAAAGAAAAATGTGGCAACGAAAAAAGAAGAAGAACATGCGTAAAAATAACAAAATAAAAACAGAAGAAAACTATTGAGAAAGATGGAGATTCCTTTATATGATCCTTGAAGAATTATAGCCAGGAAACCAAACAGACTAGTTTAGTACAAAGACAATTATAGACGTTCAAAATAATCCAAAGCACACCAAACAAGTTGTTGTGAGACAAATTCAATAACTGAAGTGAAGATAAGTTCAAAATTGTTGAAACCACTCCTGAAAATTTGTTACCCACAACTTAACCTGGAAAATGATATATTTTTTCTTACTTTCTCTCCTATTCATTTTAACTTTATATTTTTCTCTCTCCTCATCATTGATTATTTATTTAACTTCTTTTTTAGTATTTATCCTATTTCTTATCTTACAAATTTTTAATTTCAAATTAAATAATTAATCAATATTTATTATATGAAAAAACTTTAATTTGAAAAGTATTATTTAATTTCACAGTGCACAGTTCCTCTCTAAACCCAAATGAATTAAAATGATGTATTTTATTTACTTGCTGAGTACGGAGAATATCTCATTTATATACTCTGTTATTAATTAATTCCAAAGTTTGGTGTTTGTTTACTTTACTGTTATTGGATCGATTGTGATTTATGTAGGTTTGTGTACCATTTTGTTTTGTTAATTTCAATTTCAATAATCATAATTAAAGTTAATGCCTTCCAAGTTTTTTTCTATATTTGTTAAGGAAAAAAAAAAACTTTCCTTTGAAAGGAAAATGGAGGGTCAACCAAAAAAAAGAAAGAAAAGAAAATGCAATGAAACACAAAAAATAAAAAGGCTAGGGAGAGGCATCAAAATCCAAAGATCCTTTTTGTTAGTTGCCCCTACAAAATTATATCATTATAGTGAAAACAATTGGCATAAAAAAATAAAAAAATATAGATTTTATAAATTATCTGAATTAAACATTCCTAAAAGCTTGTCACCAGTAAGTAATAAAATCCTTAAAAATATAATATTCTAAAGATGAGCAGCTACTCATCGCATTTGGGGATCTTATTTCCATGAGATCAGGAAGGAAAACAAACAACCATTTACCATTCACTTTGGGATTAAAAAATCTAATCAAATAGAATATAGTACTTTGGGAAATAGAATTTTAGACAATCATATCCTTAAAACACTTGCCTTTCAAGCTACTGTTGGCGAGATATAGTAATTGGAGGTTGGTCAAATTTCCATTGTCACTTGGAATGATTCCTAGGTTAAACTTGTTATCACCTAGTTGTAACATTGCCAACTCTTTGCAATGATGCCAAATGGAGGGTATGTCACCGGATAAATCATTTCCATTCACATAAAATAATTCAAGTTTTGGAAGTCTAAGACACACATTTGGGAGACTCCCAGATAATTTATTCCAAGTGCAATGTGTTTTAGCACCGAATTGTTAAATGATGAAGATGGTATAGAACCAACAAGTTGATTTTTTCCAAGATACAATTTCTTTAGTTGTGAAATATGACCAATCTCATTTGGAATGTCTCCTTGAAATATTAGGGGGAGAAAAAGAGCATGTTTGTAATAATTTTATATTTTTTTATAAAAATGATAAAACACATATAGCATAGAAATAACAAAAATATATTTTAAATGATAAAACACAACTACAATTATTTTAAAACAAGAATAATCACAGAATAAATTATTTGGATATGTGATTCATTGAGAAATTTAGATGGATTAATGTCAGAGAATGTATTGGGCTATTTCCCGAGGCCCATTGCATTGTTTTATGCTTCAATTTAGTTTATTATTCTATTTTGTTTCATATAGCATAATATATGATATTAGAGTAACTTAAGCTAGGTTTATTATTGTTATCTTTTCAGATTTAGTGGATTAATTATTTTTTCCAAATTCCTATATATCTTGTAAGCTGTATTGGACTCATTCAAGAAATTAGATTCTAAGTTCCTATAGTTAAATATGATAGAAAAACCTAAGATCACATTGAAATATAATTTGGCCCTTTTTTCTTTTTTGATTTCCCACAAGTATTCTTGTACTAGAGGCAATCTTATTTGAGGTACAGTCAGATACTTAAATGGGCACTTCTCCCAGCAAGAATTTGAAATGTTGAAAGAGGTGCCCAAATTAAAACATATTTGTTGGGAGACTCCCAAAAAATCAATTTTGCTAACTACATGCCTTTTAAAAATAAAAATTGATAAAAATTAAAAATTAAAAATATAATTTAGGTTATCCAAATCAAAATTAAATGTTCCAAAAATGTGGCTTGTAAGATTTACTCTGTTTTTTTTAATAAAAAATAGACCCTTCAGAAAAATTTTAGCGACAGAATCATAAACATTTATTTTTAATCACTGATTTTAGATCTATTTGGACTATCATTATAAGAGTATTATTTTTTCCCGTGATGTCTCTTAATTAATTTTTTCAAAAATTGGATGCCAAATTGGCCTTTATTGTTTTAAACAAGAAAAGAAAAATACCGGTGGATCATGCTAGATTCCTCCAGAAATAGTATTGTTTGGAGTAAAGACAAATATAGATATAAAAAATAATCCAAAACATACCTGAAAAATAGTTATAAGACAAGCTCAATAACTCAAGTGAAGATAAGTTAGAGATTGTTTGGGGAGTGATTCCTAAAAGTTTGTTCCCCCACCAGCTGTAAAATCTTCAAGCAGTTAAGTTTTCCTACCTCAAGTGGAATAGTCCCCTGGATAAAATTAAAAGTCCAATCTAAGGTTTCCAACCTTGACAAATTGGACAAGGATAATGGAATAAATCCATAAAAGCTGTGATTTTGAAAACCCAAGTGCTCAAGCATATATAAATCTCCTATCCATGTTCGAACTTGTCCATGAAAGTCATTGTAGCTCAAGATGAATAGTCTCAATTGATGTAATCGAACTAACTCTACTGGTATTTGACCATTCAAGTTTTTGTTACTGAGATCAAGTTCAACAAGGAATGAAAGATTTCCCAGCTGTGGGGATATGGTTCCTTTAAGATTCATGCCAACAAGATTCAAGGAATGGATTCTTCCATGATGAGTAGTATTATAGGTGACACCAATCCAATTGCATGGAGAAGAGACGGACCAATTAGCTAAGAAATTGTATGGATCTGAAGTGATAGATGATTTAAGGGCAAGAAGAGCATATTTGTCAATGGTGATGTTTGCATTAGTCCAAGCTAAAGACAGCATGAGGCAGTGAAGTAAGAAGAGGAAAACAAAGGAAGAAGGTTTTGCCATGTTTAGCATATCAGCTTACCAAAATTGCAAGTCTTGTGCATCTAGGAATTGGCACCCGTTTTGTACTTCTATAATTATTTAACAAGTCAATTTGTAGTAACTGACACGTGGTTTTAATTTATGAATATTTATAAAAAATGAAATTCAACATTCCATGCTAAATTAATTTGTCAGCTGGAATAACTGAATAAATTCGATCGTACACATATAGAGAGAAGGTGGGAACAACGTCCAGTTATAACTGCGTATTAAATTGAATGAAGGTTTGATTAAGTTTGATAATATTTTTATTTTTGTGTATGGGCTTAAACAAAAGGATAAAATATATTTCATGATTGTTATTGCTTACAGACTTTCGAATTATAAAAGCTATATGGGAAAAAGTCAAAATAAGAATAAAAAAAAGCCTACGACTCTGTACAAGCGAAGTTAACTTTCGAATAAAAAACCAAATTAAATTATGTGCTATTTATCCATTAGTGTGCAAAGTAACATGAGAAGCTGTTGGTAATCAACGAAACAGAGATTTAATTGCCACAGCTTACTTTGTTAGCATTTCTAGTTAAATAATGAAAGGAGTATTATTCTGTATTCTTATTTATATTTCTATCCAAAGTATTTAATCCCAGTGAAACAGAAGAATTAATGAAATGAGTTAAAGATATGTTATTAATTTTTTTAATTTTATAGCAGTAAAAGAGATTGCATGATTGAAGTTGACTGTGATAACCCAAAATAAATAAAAGATAAAAGAAAGTGAGACATATGCATTGGAAACTAAAAAAATTGAATAAAAGATAATTATTAAATTTTTAAAGTTTCAGAAATTATCGTATGAATTTTTTTTTAGATATCTCTATCTTATACCCTCAACCCAAAAAAATATAAAAAAGAGCAAATCGGCCCGTAAATTATAGGTTAAATAATGTCTAGAATCCTAGACTCATTTTTAATATAATATTTCTCTTCAACTAGACCCTTATGATTAATAAAAGTTAATTTTGACTATCAGTCGAGCAGACAAGTACAGAAAATGACTTCAAAAATTACAAAAAAGGATCAACAAAATTTTCTCAATCCTTTTTGTAAATTTTGGATCCTTCAAAGTAATTTTTTGATCATTTTCTATAACTTTTGAGATCTTTTTCTATCAGCTTTTGGATCCTAGATGCTTCTTGATCTATAATTTAGGAGTCAATTTGCTCCTTTACTGTAAAAAAAAAAAAATCTATCTTATAAGGATCTCTTGTTCCAGAACAAACTTATTCAGCACACATCAGGCATGTTACCCAAAGTGAATAACTATATTTTATTATAATTTATGAATATTTTTCATTTTCTAGAAGTAAAAATGTGAAAATTATATATATGGTTTGTAATTATAAAAAAATAGAAGTGTACTAACAAGAGTTATGTTTAATAGAAGGAACTTACCCTTTATAATGTGACAAACTAATGTTTGAATTTCTATTGAAATGATGTCTACATTTAGTGCCCAACCATGAATCAACACATGAATATCTCTAATAGAAGGATATCTACGTACAAAAAAAAAAAAAGAAGAAGAAGAAGAAAGAAGCGCTTTTTCTTCATTTTTTTTTGACATTCTCAAAATTTAATTTATATATCAGATGATCATATTTATTTATTTTATTTTTTTGCAATCATGAAAATACCTAAAATCTTCAAACGCAGAGTGCTTCTCTCTCTAGGTTTTTTAATTGATGATTAGATAATTAATTAAAACTTAATTGACTCGTGAAGCGGACTTGACGTCACAACTCACAAGCTTGATATTTTCTAAATCCTAGAAAGCGTACATGTTTGACTGGTTATTGTAAATTGAGGAAAGGGCGCAAATATATGTTCTTCTTTCAAGGACAAAAATAACTATCAAAGATTAAAATTTAATTTATGTTCTTTCAAAGAAGCTGATGTAATATAATTTCTTCCATTATCACATTGATTACATTGATTAAGGACCACATTTTTATTTTGGCTTCACAATTTCATTTATGATCATTGAACAGAAGGTTGTGTGAATATATTGTCCCTTTAGTTAGGTCTGTCTTTTTGTTTGTTTTTGGGGGGAGAAAGTTATTCATTTCTTCATTAATCAACATTTATAGTTTTATGGATATAGAGATTCTACTATCTAGAAAATGCTTACCAAGTGGGTGCAGCACAAATGGTTGTGATCTGAGCTCTTTGAGCATCATTTCAAAGTTCAATTCATGAAGACGTATATGGAAAAACATTACTTGGAAAAGGCCAACCCCTTAAAATCCACTCAGATTTCTTGAGAAAATTAGTCCCATGGTTACCAGCTGTGGGGATATTTTGAGCAACAAAAAATAAAAGAAAATGCTTGATTATATTTACACGAAATTTAAATTTAAATTGATGAAAGAAATTTTTGAGTTTTCCCTCATTCTCATCATTACACGTGGCTAATTCAATTAATAATATGTATACTATTATAATCTTGTAGATAATTCAAGAAACTGATATTTGGTCAAAAAAGGCACTGAGTGTATAATTTAATACATATGAAATTATTGAAATCATAATTATCTAATAGAAAATTTGCGAGTAAAGAAAATACTAACAGTAACAGGCGATACACATATTCTTACTCTAACCGCATTAAAAAAATGTTAGTATTATCGCTGTATTATTTAATTTGGAGTCAAGTTTGTAAGGCCTTAAAGTCATAATCACTTATGGAAACAAAAATTTTTGAGTTTTTGTCGATATTAAATAGCCTCACATTAATATCACTTGTAGAACCATATTTTCATTTTCGTTGCATAATTTCATTTATGGTCAAGCTTGGTAGGCAATATATAAAGGGTACCCCACAAGAATGTTAATAGTGGGAAGACTTGTGAGTAGCCATAAAAAAATCTTTGATTGGATATCAAAATTCTTCGGACTTGGATTAGATATCTGTCGTCCATTTTAGGTTATACGGCAAATGCAGTGCTTGACTTGTAAGTGCATGACAAGTGAGTAGGCATCAAAGTCATTCCTATTGGTGACTCTATAATTAAAGAAGGAATTAAAGGTATATACAATAATTAATAAAAATAAAAGTAAAGCGTGTCATAATTATCCTGGAAACACTTACATGTTACGTTGTACAACTTACATTGAGTGAGTCTAAAAGTAGAAGTTGCATAATATATATTAATTTTATATAATACCTTCATCATATGCAATTACTTAAAATAATTGCTTCTAATGTACCTTAAGGCGTGAGATTAAACATAATTAGATTAATTAAATTATACAGGAACGATCCCAAATCAGTTTTTTATTTACATATGCAAAACCTCCATTTAGTGCATTATTGGAGGGAGAGTTTGATGTGCACATAAAATTAAATTTGTGAAAATTTTTGTTAATGATAGCAAAACCTCCCGAAGTTGTGTTTGGGATAAACAATTAGACATACATACATACATGTTGTATTATTCTTTTTTGTTATTTTTAATGGCATAGTCGTCTTAGAGTATCCAAAGTTTTCATACATACAGGGAGTTCATGTATACATGATATCTGTCAACCCTAATTGTTATTTATGAGGTTTAATAATCATTAATAAATTTTTAGATCTTCTGTTTTATGGTTTTAGATGCATGTCATAATATCTTTTTTTAACATTCTCAAAGTTTAACTTAACCATAAACATTTCATATTTATTTTAGACTTTTTTTTTTTTACATTTAGAACAATTACCAAAGTCTTCAAACGCTCCGTGTTTATCTTTCTAGGTCTTTTATTTTAATAATTTTGAATGAAATGGATGGTTGTGTAATTAACTCACACAATCTTGACTTTTGAAGGGGATGTGAATTGTGAAAGGCTTAAGTATGTGAATATTCTTTTTTTTTCATTTAAAAAAAGACTCATTCATTCACTTGAGTGGTCTAACAAAATTGCCTAAATAAAATGCAACTGAAGGTTCTTCACTTTCTAATGCATTGAAAGTATAGTACATGGCGTGCTTGACTTGTCATTTTGAATAAGGACAAAAATGACTATCAAGATTAAAAGTAATCCTCTAAAAGAAGTTGATGTGATGAAAGAGACAGAAAATTATGTGTTGTATAATTTTTCCAATAGCGAGGAGAACCTTTGTCCCTTTATTATGTGGTATAATTCAACATCTTGGAAATTCAAAATAAATGACAGGTAAAAATAAGGTATAATGAAGCCTTATACACAATCATATTCATTCCAGTCCTTTTGGTGAACAAAATATTCATTCCAGTCACTCCCTTCAATTTATAATTTTTTTATTCTATTAATTGTCATAAAGATATGACGTTTTTTGGGAGATGGCCAATTGGGTTCTGAAATTGGCTATCAAAATAATATAAAGATTACAAACTTGTTAAAAATGACTGATTTCTATCTTACCTTTCCTACTGAAGCTTTTCCTGCTATTGGAACCTCCAAAAACTTGCAAAGAATGTCGATGGTCTGAAGAAGATGATTGACATGTAATGGTTTGTAAAATGGACAGGTCGGGATGTTTTAATGGTTATACACTTATACTATTATAAAATAAACTATTTATACATTCGTCACTCCTCTATTCTTATAAAGAACAATCATTAATTTCAATGTTTTTTTTTTGGCCAAAAATTCCAACGTGAGGTTAATTGGTGATCTCATTAGTGAAACCATTCTACAAGTTTGATTATCACCATATTTAACACCTTTGTTTAATATAATGACTTAAAACTAAAGTAATAAATGGAAAAAAATAAATAGTTTAGAAAGGAAAAGTAAAGCTAAAGCACTTAAAATAATTATGATCCGTACAAAGTTAATTGTGATTCTGCCCTTTTGATAAAAAAGACTCATCCATTCACCTCGAAAGTATAGGCATATAGTTTTCTTGACTTCATAGAGATTAAAATTTATCTCCTAAAAAAGTTGATGCAATGAAGGGGAAAGAAAATTGCATTAGTGATGAGAAGAGACTTCGT